AAGTATACTCTCTCAAAAATACAATTCAAACTTATGAATATGAGAGTATATAACTAGAAACACAAGCTCAAAGTGTGTGTATAAAAATCAGGAATTTAAGGCTCTTGAAATAGCCAAAATATTGAAAATAATTAATAAAAGAATGAACACACTTAGAATATAAAGGGAGGATGTTTAGAGCTTTGTTTCTTGTTAAAATATGAAGTATTAGGCCTATATTTATAGTAGAAGATGTTAATTAGCCGTTAGGAGGTGATTAGAGTTGAATTAATTCAAAAATCAGTAATCAGGAATAGTGTTCCAACGGTAACGGTACCCTATCACGGTAGCTAGGTCTCGTACGGTAGCTAGGTTTTCTTCTCAGGCCAAAACTCTCTGGCGGTACCTATACACGGTACCTATACACGGTAGGGGGGTCCCGTCCATACGGTAGGGGGGGTCCCGTCCATACGGTAGGGGGGTCCCGTATCAGATTAACTCACGGTACACCTTACGGTACCCTCACGGTACCTAGGTACCTTATGACCATTTTGACAATTTTTTCATTTTTGTCCAAATCATTTCCAGTTTTGTTTAAAACCTTTTGAATGTTTGAAAATGATTATAAAAGTGTTTTAAACATATTTTGTGAGTGTTTTTGAGCTTGTGAATATAGGTATATAAAATCATATCCTTACATCGGTTTCTACCTAAATTATACGCTAGTTTAGTGTTTCGACTTCATTCTTGAGAACCGAATCTTAATGGATTCTTGTTGTACCTGAAACACTTAAACAAACGTCAAGCTCTTATATTGTTTGTTAACATCAAAACATGAGGCTTAGCAAACCAAGGCTAACACGCCCAACTTTGAAACCTTTCCAAATGACCAGCTTTTTTCTTTCTCACATTTTGTAGCCCTAACTCCATTCCACACATCCATTAAGGTGACCATTTATTTGCATATGTATGTATATTTACACTAATACACAAAGTGGAGTGACTGCAATTGCAATCACTTACACTAATGTGGCTCCGCCACTATATATATATATATATATATATATATATATATATATATATATATATATATATATATATATATCCACTAATGCCATTACCATTATGGTCATTTACTATGGAGGTTTGTTGTAAGTTAGAGCATTTCCAACCATTCCATTTTGCCTTGCTAAAAGCTATGATATATCAAGCCAATCTTTTTTATCATCTCCAAGGTTGTGTTATATTATAGCAAGCTTGCTAAAGAATGAGTTTGATTTGCTAAATATAACAAGTTCTCCAAAATATAGCAAGTTAAGAGTTGTAAAATGAATTAGCTACTCATGGTTGGAAAATGAAACAAAAAGTTGCTTGTTATATCACTATTTACTTGCTAAAATATAAAAATAGCAAGCCAATATAGTAAACATGATTGGAGATGCTCTTAATAAAAGCTTTGCCTATTAAAGTCTCCACTCTCATTGTTTAGTTTGACAAGAAAGAATACTCCTTACGTCTAAGAATTTTTGGGGGAGGGAGAGAGCTTGCTATGTAGCCTTTACGGTGTCATGTCACCAAATTTTCTAACGATCTTCTTTGCCTTTTCCTGTTGGCATCGCTCCAGCAATTTTCTAGTTTGTAAAAGTCTAGTGGATTTGTACAACCATTGCACTTAAAAATGTCCATACTTATTATAATTTCTATGTCCATATTTGCAATAAATTCATGGACGGAGAAAGTATCATCGATAACAAATTGACAAAAAATATTTAAAAAAAATACTAAATTAAGATCATATTCTCTTCAACCTATTCTTACTACTTTTTTATTGAATAAAGTATTTATGGATATGATTTATGAAGAAGCTTTATTCGGATACAGAACCAGGGGCGGACCCAGGATTTTTTACCACGGGGTCGATCATATATTTAAAAATTTGAGACAGTATATCATTTGTTGGGTCGTAAGTAAAATAAGATTCATATTTAAAAATATTCTTAAAAATAACTTTATGGTATTAACATGTAATAAAAAATTTTAAAATTGACATTCAAAACTTACTATAAAATTTTAAATGAGATGGATGAATCATTAAAAAGTGAATGATATATAATAAGAATTTATTTTAAGAAAATAGGAATAATATCAACTACATATTTTTTTCTATAAATAAGTAAAGTGTAAAGTTTATAAGTTTGTTTGATATAGAAGAGAATAGACAAATAAAAAATAGTTATGTTGATTAATAATTTAATACGAAAGGAGATACACAATTTTTGAAGTACTTAAGAAAATCGAAACACTCCATAAAGATAAACTTTACTATAGATTTTTAAATGAAACGGATAAAGCATTAAAAAGTTAAATAATTGGTGCCTTTTAAATACGGAGTACATCTTTGCATCCTATATTGAAATTTAAATAATTAAAAACATTATAAATTTAAAAAATAATCTAATTATTTTAACATATTTACAAATCACAATCTTACAAAATAAAATAGCAAATTCAATTCGCTATTCACAATAACAAATTCATAAGAATAAATTATAATATTCACAATTCACAAATATAAAAATAAATATTTAGTTTAGATTAAATTATGTAAAAAAAACATAGAAAATTAAAGCAACGAGGCGCCCAGGCAGTCAACATTGCTCAAACGCAGAGCTTTCCACTCCTTCAACATGTCCCCGTTCTTTCATATAGCGTTTTATGAAGTATATACTAACTATACAAATACACCTAAAAAATTATATATATAGGTAAAAAAATTTAAAATTTTCGTGGGATCGCTTGACCCCGTATGACTCAACGTGGGGCCGCCCCCTGTACAGAACCCGCCCTTATTTGATTCTACAATGACAAGTGACTTCTCTTTAACTTTTCGTGTAAGCAATGCTCTGGTTTCTCCCGCCGGTTCATTTGCCGGTCACCGGCGGAGTTGCTTTCTTGCCGCCTACCCTTCGAATGTCCTTCGCTTGTCCTTGTTATTCTCCCAATACCGTAGCTTTAACGGCATACTCTACTCCCTATATACCGAAACCCACGCCTCAAAGCTTTTTGTACCAGTGGTTCGATCGGCTGAAGGGTAACCGTTCTCGAAGGAAATCTTGAAAATGGCGGAGAACTCTGTGGAGGGTTTGATGTATTTACATGGAGATTTGCAGCTACGCGTCATCGAGGCGCGTGATTTGCCCAACACGGACTTCGCCGGTGACCGTCTCCGCCGTTGCTTTTCCTGTTCAATCTTCCCGAATTCTGAACCCGACGGCGGCGGATCTGGACCGTCGAGTGAGGAAACTCGCCGCCGTGGAGTTATAACTACGGACCCGTACGTCACCGTCTCGGCGCCCCTGACGACACTTGCCCGGACTCGGGTCATCCCAAACTCGCAGAACCCTAAATGGGATGAAAACTTTCACATCCCACTGGCTCACCCCATGGACTATTTGGAGTTCCGGGTCAAGGACAAAGACATGTTCGGAGCTCAGACTATAGGTACCGTGCAAATTCCGGTGAAGGAAATAGCCACAGGCGCTCTGATCTCCGGTTGGTACGATGTGATTGGGTCCACCGGGAAGCCTCCCAAACAGGGAACCGCTCTCCGGGTTGAGATGAAATTCACTCCCTTTGAATCCAATCCACAGTACAAGAGTGGAATTGCAGGTGATCATAGTCACTTGGGCGTGAGGCGTACTTATTTCCCACTGAGAAAAGGGTGCTCGGTGAAGCTGTATCAAGACGCTCATGTCAGGGGTGGTCCGAAACAGATAGATGTTAGATTAGGCGGATGGATGGGAGGGATATCTTATGAGAGGGGTACTTGTTGGGAAGACATATATCACGCGATGTCTGAGGCTCATCATTTGATATACATTGTTGGATGGTCTGTTAACCATAAGATCAGGTTGATAAGAGAGCCTACGAGGGAGTTACCTTCCGGCAGGGACTTGACTCTTGGTGAATTGCTCAAGTACAAAACTGAGGAAGGTGTTAGGGTTCTGCTATTACTTTGGGACGACAAGACTTCTCATGATAAGTTCCTCATCAACACGGTTTGAATCTTTTTCTTGCTCTGTCTTGTTAAAAAATTCAGCAAAAGACATGTTCAGTTATGTCTTTAAACATGTGGTTTTATATCCCATAAAGCTTCAGACCAAAATGCATGTCTTTGTTTATAGCATTCAAGTAGTTAATATGTGTTCATTATGAAGAATTCATTTATGACATTGAAGTGCTCATCTAGATCCAAAAGTTTAATGCATGTGTTATTTTTCAAGGGTTGGTTAAAATCTAAGTACATTGTTTAGCTGATTCTTGTTTGTAGCAAAATATCCATGCTATAGGCTTTATCTTGCTCAACTTTTATTTTCTCTTTTCAATTTTTTGTTGACAAAAAAATTAAAGGTGGGACTTGATGCAGGGAGGGGTCATGGGAACCCATGATGAGGAGACCAAGAAGTTTTTCAAAAACTCATCTGTGAAATGTGTCCTGTCACCTCGGTATGCCAGCAACAAGCTTAGCTTTTTTAAGCAGCAAGTAAGCTCTCTAAATGTTTACTTTAAAAAACTTCTAACGCCTCATGTAGATTCAGTATTTCATCTAATTGAAAAAAAAGAGATGAAATTCATTCATTTAGAATTCAACTTTGTTTATTCCTATGTTCACATTTGGGTAACTGTGTTTTGTGATATGTGGATTTGGGTGTTGCTTTTAGATTGTTGGAACCATGTTCACACACCACCAGAAGTGTGTGATTGTCGATACACAGGCTGAGGGCAATTTTAGGAAAATTACCGCTTTCTTGGGAGGTCTTGATCTCTGTGATGGTCGCTATGATACACCGGAACACAGTTTGTTCCGTGATCTTGATACTGTTTTTGAAAATGATATTCATCAGCCTACATTTCCAGTGAGTTTTTTTTACTCTTCTAAGTTTTTTTTTGAAAGAGTACTCTTCTAAGTTCTAATTTTCACGGTACGTTATTCTTAGATGCCTCTAAACAAATGAATCTGAGGCTTCATTTGGTAGCATGATTGGCTTATTCTGCTTTTCGACTTGCTTATTTAGCTGAAATGGATGTTACCAAACATGTCCTAAATCTGCTACATATAAGTGTTTTTATCATTGACCAAGTGTCCAAGTTCATGTACCTACCTATTCAAAGCAATTAAAGTCCTAAATTTGTACCCTTATTCATTTTTCAAGTCATTTTCGCTTGCCATTTGTCATGATCATTTATGTTCCCTATCTTCTTGTTGCTTCATTAGCAAGGGACCAAAGCTCCGAGGGAGCCATGGCATGACTTACACTGTAGAATTGATGGGCCTGCTGCATATGATGTGCTTATAAACTTTGCTCAACGTTGGAAAAGAGCTACCCGATGGAGACAATTTGCTTTTCTGCAAAAGGGTAGATCTGAATGGGATGATGATGCAATGATCAGAATAGATCGAATTTCATGGATAATGAGCCCAGCAGACTTTGCTGTTACAAAACATGACACGTCCATTCCTAAGGACGAACCTGAACTCTATGTGAATAAGGATCAGTCTACACAATGGCATGCTCAGGTTGCTTCTTTCTTCTGATAGTTTACATTTTGTTTGTGAAACTTTATAACCCTTTGTAATACTTTTAGTCATATATCATTTCGTTTTGCAGATTTTTCGGTCCATTGATTCAGGTTCCGTGAAGGGTTTTCCAGCAAGAACTGACCTTGCTGAGAAACAGGTGACATAAAAACTCACCTCTTTTCATTTTTCTATATGGGTATCTTTCCTGGAAAATGGCAAGAGAGTTATGTTATGATGTATGCATGTTGTTTGGGAAATGTAAATGCCAAAGAAATATGATTAAATACTTTTAAAATCATTACATACATTTAGATTTCTTAGGTTTATATTTCACGGAGTAGACAGATAATAAAATCAGTATTAACAATTACTACATTTTTTTGAAGTTTTTCCCTTTCTTTTATTTTCTCTTTCTCTTTCTTTCCTTGCACATTTACCTCTGTTTTCGCCCCATTTTCTTTCCCTATTATTTACTGGGTTCCAAACAGACTGTAAATCTATTTGGAGTTCCCTAGGTATGTGGTATTATTAGTTTTGTGGGAAAAAGATTTAGCTTTCCCTTGTGTTCAATTAAATGCAGAACCTTGTGTGTGGAAAAAATTTGGTGGTAGACAAAAGCATTGAGACAGCATATATCCAGGCAATAAGATCGGCTCAGAAATTTATATATATTGAAAACCAGTATTTTCTAGGGTCATCATATGCTTGGCCTAAATACAAAAGTGCAGGTGAAAATTACATTTTTCTTTCTGTATCACCCTTTTACCCTGCTCATGAAAATCGAGTACTAAATGTATACTATAGATGCCGCTGATCATCTGATTCCAATGGAGTTGGCTCTGAAAGTTGTCAGTAAAATTAGAGCCAGAGAAAGCTTTGCTGTATATATTGTTGTGCCGATGTGGCCTGAGGGAGATCCCAAGTCAGCTACCGTGCAAGAAATTCTCTATTGGCAGGTAACAACAGTCCTGGTTTCTTGATTGTGTGGATGGGCTTTTACTGCTTTTGCTAGTCATTCCTTATGATTCATTGCGTTTTTACAGAGCCAAACAATGGAGATGATGTATAAAGTCATTTCAAAAGAAATTAAGTCGATGCAACTAGATGCAAATCCTTTGGACTATCTGAATTTCTATTGTCTTGGTACTAGGGAAGATGTTCTTCCAAGTTCTGCTAGGCAGGAAACTAGCGAAAAAGAAAAGGTAATCTCTTCTCATCAATGCCTTAGACTTGTGTGGTGAAATCAGGAGCTACATGCTGCAGAGTTGTCATTTAGCCATCAAAATCCAACAAGTTCCGTTGACATGTTTTTCAGGTTTCAGACTCGCTCAAGTATCAGCGGTTCATGATATATGTGCATGCCAAAGGAATGATAGTTGATGATGAGTATGTCATATTGGGATCTGCCAACATAAACCAACGATCCATGGCCGGCTCCAAAGACACGGAGATAGCTATGGGAGCCTATCAGCCCTATCATACTTGTGCAAAACAGCTGCATCGCCCTCGTGGACAGGTTCACATCCTTGTTTGATTTATCACAAAAACAAGTACACATTGTTCCTTGAGAATAGATTTGTTTTAGAATATTGAATCGTTCGTCCCCAGGTCTATGGATACCGCATGTCATTGTGGAAAGAACACCTCGGAGGAGTGGAGGGTCTTTTCATGGAACCAGAGACACTGGACTGCGTTAGGAGAGTGAATGACATTGCCAGAGATAACTGGAAAAGATACACAGAAGAGAGTTTCACCATCCCCTTGCAGGGTCATCTTATGAAGTATCCTCTAAATGTGGATAAAGATGGGAAAGTAAGTTCGCTACCCGGGTTTGAAGATTTTCCCGATGTCGGGGGCAAAGTGATGGGAGCCCACTCTCCTGCCATTCCTGATATCTTGACAACCTGATAATAGTTCAATTGATTATCTTCTTTGTATGTATATGATATATGTGAATAGATCTTCTATGACGAGGTCCACAAAAATTAGGGTGCAGAAATGCAAAAAGCCTAGAGTACAAAGTGAATGTGAAGGGTAAATAGGGAAATCATCATTTTATTGGGAGCATAGCCTAGAGTACAAATTTTATTGGATTTGTAATTCAACATTCATTTATTTGATTCTTTCTTCAAAATAAAAAAAAACATTCATTTGTTTGATTGGTATTGTAAAGTTTACTTACCATTCTAGACACTTGATAATTGTATCAAACTATCAATACAAATAGTATATGGTTCTCTTTCTTTACTCTAGTTTTGGTTCACCAATGCCTTAATAGAGATGGTCTCAATTAGAGTTGGACACGGGCCGGTTCCGGTTCTAGAAATGCCGGTTTTGGAACCGTGGATGAGACGTACCGCTACCGATGCATGTCAGGAACCGGTATCGTCCGAAAAGGATTGGTACCAGTGACATCTACCCGCCCCAATTGTTTCGGTTCCATAATTGGCGATTCTGGTTCGGAACCGGAACTGTTAAACCGTGTCCAGGTCTAGTTTCAATTAGTTCAACCATAATGATACCTCAATATAATATCAATTCTATTAGGCTTGGTGGAACCAACATTAAAATATTTCAACGTGTTTGATCAATCAACGTATAACAAAAATAAAAATGCAGTGCTTTATTAAAAGAAATAATATATGGTACTCTTTACTTATTCTAGATTTTGGTTGACCTATACCTTAATAGACATCGAGGTCTCAAGTCTCAACTAGATCAACGACAACAACAATAACTTAATATAATCTCAAACTTGCCAGAGTTCAATATTAAATAATTTTAATGTGTTTTCTCAATTGGCGGATAATATTAAGAAAAACATCGTGTTATTTTTATTAAAATAATAAAAATGTCACTTCAATATTTGTTTTTAGATATTATTCCTACGGTCCTAACTCCTATGGGCATCATTTTGACTTAAATTAAGGATGACAACATACACATTGTTTTTTGCTATCTACACTTCAAAAGTTGTATTTAATCATCTCACATTAATAACAATAATTTTTGGAGTATGGATAATATCAGATTGGTTCTTTTGACAATAATTGTCAATATCATAATATGACCTGGGAACCTACGGTACTCCATTAGTAAAATTGGTGACTCCATCGCTTAATTTCTCCCACTGATTAATTTTTTTGTCGTTGATTTGTTCGTTTGGTCGAAAGGAACTGTACCTTATAATCCATTACTAAATATTACAGAGTAGCAAACTACATCATTAATAAACAAATTTGAAATTTATTGCACTCACACTTTTTTTATCACTCCATAAATCTTCTTTGAGGATTCACATAATTAATGAAATCACATATTTCAAACTAACGTGTTGCAAATTGAATTTTTTTGAATCTTACAATTTCACTAGTATTAACCCCGTGCTTCGCACGGGCTCGTATACATTCTATAAATATAATTTTATTTATTTTAGTTTTCTAATAGTGACATAATATGTGTTAGATGAATATTTTTTAACTCTAAGATTATCTTTTTTTCAAATAATATAATTTAAATATAGATGTATATGCACTAAACATTCTATAAGTATTTTCTTTCAAAGTAGTAAAAGAGAAATGATTTATTGTTTTTAAAAATAATATAAATTAAAACTTTATTTTTCAAAATATTGATAAAGTTACAAAATATTTATAGATATAATTTAACTGTGTAAACAAAATATGTTTTAAACTTGTGGAATATATATTAGTATGTTTATTTAAAACAAAAATTTGATACAAAATATTTTACAATGATGATATATATGTTTATAAAATTGTTAAAAATAACATTTTTTATACAAAGTATAATTAAAGTAATGTTTTTAATACTAAAATATAATATTTATTGAAAATAATACAATAAAATGTGTTAAAAGATCTTTTTAAATAATTAAATGGACTAATGAAATTCATCCATGTCACTAATGAATGCACATGTGGCATGCCACATGTCAACACTCCAAGAAATAAACCTTACTTTACATATATATATATAGGATACCTTTTTTGAGACATTCATTATAGTACTATGTAATACTCCGGGTATGAAAATGACAATGGTAACTCCAACTTAATTACTCGTACACCAAGTATAGACCACATTTTGCACTGATACACTAGCATAAAAATGTTAGTGTCGCAGCAATAATTTGAGTCAGTGTGTGCCAGTGTAAAACGTGGCGTATACTTACTCTACACTTTTTAGTGTGAAGTAAGGAGTATCATTATTCAATAAAAAATATTTTTTTGAAAGAAATGAATTGTGCCGTGATGTTAGACCATCTATAATGAAAACTGACGCATAATCTTTTTAGGCCTGTCACGTCCCGTCACAGCATCTGATACGGCATTGTATCAAGATAGAGAAGGATTTTGAGCACTTTCGAGCTCCAAGAACAAAAGAGGCGAGAAAGAGAGATTGAGGTTTAGGAGAAAGTATTTTCTTTATTCATTGATTCATAATACTCTGGCGATGGATACATTTATAGGCTCCCACTCTAGAGAATTTCAATAATAAATGGTAACTAAATAAATTAAGAATCCTATTTATAAAAGTTAACTAAATAAACTAGGAAACTAAGTAATCACCTAACAAATATATTATTTCCTAATAATTCCTTACCATAATAATAATAATAATAATAATAATCCTATAACACTCTCCCCGCCTCGAAAACCAACTTGTTCTCAAGTTGAAGATCTAGAAAAAATGAGGAATCATGTGTTGTGAACGGACATTCTCCGGGGTCAAAGACCTTTATGAATGGAGCATCAAAGGAATTGGTCAAGCTCAAAGCATTCACAACTCCTAGCAAACAACTCCAGAGAACCAATAAGAAGAAAATCATGCCAGCATGCGTGACATCCCCAGAATCATAAAGGACAACAATGTCACTTTCTGACGTCCCAAATGTTTCCATGCATCTATAAAAAATGAAACCATCACTTGAATATTTTGCTTGGACAGTGTGATCTCATTGATCGTCACCAGAAACAACAACAACATCAACACTAACATGAACAACATCTATGAGATCAATAATAAGATCATCATCAGGAACACCAACAGGATCAATAAAAATTTCATTTTTAAATTCCTGGTCCTGCAAAGTTGTGTTTTGCACAGGTACTGTATGTGCTGAATCTCGTGGAGTGCCGATGAGTTTCCTTATAGAGCGCATCATGATTGTTTTGAAAATGTATAACTCTATAAAAATCAGGCTTGACATAATTGGAAAACCACGAACTAAATCCGGTATTGAACAAGAGGCCTCTACGGAAAATGCATATATCTCGGAATCATATTTTGGTTGACCTTCAATTGGACGGAATGCCTGAAGTTTCTTTATAATCTCATCCACGGAATCTTCAACTGCACACACTCCTTCATAAAATTCAATATGTCCCCTTAAAACTTTTTAAAATAAAAGAAGAAGTTTGTCTAACACAGAATTCATTGCGTGTGGCGTATATTTTTTTCGGCTATCAACTTGGGATATATTTTCAACTGATTTCCCTAAAACCAGAAAGTGATGTGTGTGGGCTACACAAAAAAAACTTACGAGTAATGAAGTCACTTTTTGGGGTACAATTGGGTTGCACAGATATGGATTTGCTCCTGCACACAATCAAATTCTTCCAGCAAAGTCAAATTTTGCAGCACCACTATCAATCCAAGTTGATATTGCGCAGCAAGAGTAACGAAATTGGTTTTTTGAGATATGTGAGGACTTCAAAAATGTAAGCACTGATATGATATCGTATTAGGATAGGGAAGGTTGAGTACCTTCGAGCTATAAAATTAAGAAAAAAAGGGGAAGATTGAGAAGGAAGAGGGGAAGACGGCCGTTGATCGGCGAGAAAGAGAGAGGGAGTTTAGGGTCAGTGACAGAGGCGTGACATTAAGGGCGGGATTGTGGCACGGTTGTTGCTGCACTCGGAAAGAGCCATTGGCTCTACTTTTTCAAATATTTATTTTAAACTTTTATCTACAATTACCCAAAAAATCCCACACGATTCTATATCTCTTCTGTTCATCAAAAAAAATCTACACTACTCTTTATCAATTCTTCACCATGGATCCCAACCACTCAACCTACCCATATCTCATTCTTTTTAAATTGCTACCGACCATAGATAGACCCGAATAATCCTAATAGCTTCAATTCTTCGACAAACCCAATGCATAACTATGCAAATTGGTTCCAATCGGGGCCAATTTTGAACCACCTCACATACGATTTCAGGAACGATCTTGTTTCCAAAACACAAGACGAACCGCCATCCCAATCCCAACCTGCTAATGATTCTAAGTTGGCACTTTCCAACAGAAGAGAAAATACAAGAAAAGGATGTGGCGGAGAAAATAACGAAGCTGACCAAATGGACCGAGGCTGAGGAGGTTGCCCTCGCCCAAGCCTATGTTGACGCCTTTGGTGATCCTCAGATCCTTACGTTTTACGTTTTTATTTTTTGAAACCTTTTTTTAGAATTTTGAATGTATAAATGTAAAACTTTTTTTAAAACGTTTTTTAGCAATTGGAATATGTAAATGTAAGACCTATTTTTAAGTATTTTTAGTACATTGAATATGTGACACATTACTTTTTTAAGCCTATTTTTAAAAAAAAAATTCGTACTTTTTGTTTGCAGTTCTGTTTTTTATAAACAACTGTCCTCGAGAGTGTAGCATGTCTGATGAAAAACTGGACGAGATTATAACGTCTAAGAAAAAGTTTGTTAATTTTCCACAAGAAAAACAATACAACTTGTGCTTGTTGTGGACTCCAATCGATCACTTGACTGGACGCTAGAGAAGATGCTGGCGAAGGCAAAATCAAGGAGAAATGAACATCGACAACTAGTTTAATACTCCCTCCGTCTCATAAAGATAGAGATAGTTTGACTAAAGTGGTAAAATAAGGAGGGATACTTTTGTGTTGACTTTCCAAAAATACCTTTGATGTGATGTGTAAAAGTAGGATGTGATATGTAGATTATTAGAAAAAAGATATGATGTGATATGTAGGGTATGAAAAAGTAATGGGTAAAAGTGGTTTTTTAATATAAATGGGAATGACTTTAAGAGCACTGGAAATGGTCATGAAGCCCCGGGGCTTCAAACTTTCTCTCTCTGCCATGTCAGCTTTAACCTACACAAAAATTCACTGGAAATGGTTTTGAAGCCCCGGGGCTTCAAACTGGGGCTTCAAACTTTCATTTTTTACATTTTTAAATATACATCTTCTAAATTCAAATTAATAAATTTAAAATAATTTATTATTTTAATTAATTGCAATGACACTAGTGCATTAAAAAAAATAAATTCATTATAAAAAAAAATCTAACATTCATAAAAAAAATAAAAAAAATTACATTCATACAAAAAAATTACATAAAAAACAACATTACAAAGAAATCACTAATTATTCGAATGACTAAAGATATTCTCGATCAAATCTGCCGTTAGTGCATTGTGAATCTCTCGGCTTTGAATTTCTTGGCGGTTGCGTCGTTTCTTTTCTTCGGTGATTTCTTCGTACATAGGCACCTCCTCGTCCGGGTTGTATTGACAAATCGCAGACCCGTTATCCTCTATGATCATATTATGAAGAATAATACATGCGTACATGATATTCCTCATTTTTGTCTGAGAATAACATTTCGACGGACGATCTAGAATGTGCCACTTAGCCTTCAAGACCCCAAAGGCTCGTTCAATATCTTTTCTCGCCGCCTCTTGAGCTTTTTTGTATGTCTCGCATTTAAGACCCATTGGTTCGGAGAGGGATTTCACAATCGTGGAATAATCCGGATATATTCCATCGGCCAAATAATATCCACGCTTGTAAAGCGTTCCTCTAAGCTCAAAAGAGGAGTCCGGTGCGGTCTCATTAACCCAATCGTCAAAAACAGGCGATTGATCGAGAACGTTGATGTCGTTGTTCGAGCCCGCGACACCGAAAAAAGCATGCCAAATCCACAAGTCATTCGAAGCAA